TGATAAGAAGCGTTTGCACATTAGTGAATCCAAAATCGCGTTTTCGGCTTTCGGAGTCTAATTTAGTGAAAATTCATGACGTCTTTGTTCTGTTCTCCACATAATCGCCCTCCCTTATAATCACATAGTGTAAGTTTCACATTATTTCTTTTATTTTCTATGTAATGTTTGTTTCATTATAAAAAGTATAAAAGCACAAATTAATTTTGATAGAAACATTATATTATATATAAATTAATTATATATAAATTAAAATATATATATAAACGAGTTATTTCAGGATTTAACGGAAAAACTGGGAGATTATGCAGTTCCATATAAAAAAAAGATTAAAATTTGTTGCATAAAGAAGCTAAAAATACTTTATGTAAAGTTATACACAAATAGGAACATTTTGATGGCATCGTGATGGAACATTAGCAGTTATTATTTCATGACAAAGAAAATCAGAAAAAGCTATTCTTTTCAAGCATAGTCGTTGTCTCAAGGCTAAAAAATATTTACGCATAGATACTGAATCGTTTAAAGATAGTAAATATGATGTGAGAATATACATGAGATAAACGCATTTGATCTTTTTCATACATGAAATGTACTTATACTTTTATATTCTGTGTAATGAAAAATCCATTATTTTTTAATTTTATATCTCATTTCAATATTTGTTTATAATTCTGTAATAAGGCATTTTTAGTCAAACTTCATATAATATTTTTTTTCTTATTTTCACTTGTAGAATGATATCGCAATTTATCTATCAGAGACACCCTACATAAATTGTTTGATATTTAAAAAACTTGAGATTTTGAAACTGAATTTCGCTTGCGGCTACTGCAAATTAGATATTACATTCAAGGTGACTTCAGAATTGCACGCAATCAGATAGACAGAGTCCCGGTCGACACGAGATCCAACTTCTTTATTAATCCCGCTATCATCTAGGTCAATTAAGCTAATAATTAATCGCTAATTAGATCAAGCAGATATACCCTGTTATTTGAATGAATCTTTCAGATTGCGTTACCTTAAGAATGAGATCTCTTTGATTTTCATACTACTTTAAAAAAATTTCTAAAAACGCGTAAAATTTCAAAAATTTATCTAATATGATGCACATTAAAAATTAATAATTTCATGAATATATTGTATAAAGATAAAGAAGATGCGTGAAGAAATAAAAGCAAAAAACATCTAGATAAATATTGTTGAAATTTA